AATTCTAGAGAGATTTCATCATAAGCGCTGTCAGACGTCCACCAAATAGATCACAAGCCCCCTTACCAACAGAAGCCTCCCAAGACCCTTATCAAGGAGATTCGCAGATTCAACTCACTCAGCCTCCATCTCTCTCAGCCAAGTTTTTAGTCACAACTTCCATTCCTTGTAGGAGAATCTCAAGACCCTAACCAAGATGATGATGATAAGGCCCAGCTCGCAGAACTCGAGGAATTCCATTGTACAAGGAGACTTTATGATTCAGATGACCATAATCCAGAAGGCATCAAAAACCTGTCCCCTAGCCATGAACTTATCTATAAAGACTAGGAAACACCATCATCAAAAAATCTCTTTTTGTGTCACTCTGAAGATAAGGGAGACCTGCCAGAGGACTACTTTATATCACCATCCATTTTTACTTTATTAAAGTAGTTCGTCCTCTAGTCTATTTCGTCTTCTTGTAATAAGTAAAGTAGTTGTGTCATAATCAGAGTAGTTGGTATTAGGGTAGTTGTGATTATTAAATAACAAGTCATTATAGCACCTACCCATTATAATGATATCTACTATTAGGACTTTGTCATGTAATGGTACAGAGCCTCTATATAAACCTCACTCTGCCTTCAGTTACAGAGAGAAGGAATTGTATCAACTTCCTTATATAATACTAGTGTGCTTTTCTCATGAGCTCTCTCTAAATTTCTTTCCTCTGAAAGCCTCACTTATAATGTCTTTCTTCTGTCGTCAGAGATTTTGAGTATGCTCTGCACTTGCCTCTTTAAGAGGATCTTGTGCATCAAAAATAGGATCTAACCACGATCCATGAAGGAGTGTTTAGTGACAATCTTTCCAGTTATCCTAGATTTGATATTCAAAGCTGAGAGTCCTAACGTGGCCCGCTGATGAGTTGAGAATGAGTGGTCTTACCTGGACTAAAGTTTTGGATATCAAACTATGTTAGCTTGGTCCGATTCAGCTAACACACCCCAAGTTTATTGAATAATATGTGAAACTGAGTTGCGAAAGTCATAAAATTAATTGCAAGTTGAATTAGAAATACGAAACAATTCATATTGCTGCATGCCTCGTAATTGTAAATAATTAGATTAGATGCGTTGGCATAAATTTTGAATTAGAACTAGCTATAGATTGTATAATTGAATGATATGAATACAAAGTGGTTGTAAGGTTAAAATTTGGAGAAATAGAGAAAACTATTTTCTTCTACATAGATAGAAGTGCTAAATACTCAATATTTTATATTCTACTTTTTTTCCTGTGAAAACCATTTAATTTGGTAGTCATAATTTTTTCTTTATTAGTTAAATCTTTTAATTTTATTATATTAGTGTCGTTAACTCCTATACAGGAGCTAATGATACTAACATAGCAAAGTTAGCACTAAAAAATTAAAAAAAAATAAAGGAGAGTATATATAACAACCTCTAAAATGAGTTTTTTTGTTGTTTTTTCCATCACTGTATTCTATTTATATTAATGTTATAAATTTGGTATTAATCACCTTTAATTTTAGGATGTAAGTGGTTGTGCGATTAAATCTCACCGTTACCACTTGCTCCAAAATATTCCTCTCGGCCCAAGGAAAAAAAACCGGATTGGACTGGCCGGTTCAACCGGAAAATCGGTGAATCGGTGTCTGGTCCAGTCTGGTTTGATAGAAAAACCGCTAGGTGAACGGACCGGTAAGAAACCAGCTCAACCAGTCAAAACTGGGCAACCTCTGGGTTGATGGGTTGCCCAGTTTGAAGTTTTTTTTTTTAAACCTTCAACTGTTGAACAATGCCGTTTCAGGTTGAAGAAATTTTGAAAAAAAAAAAAAACATACAGCTTATCGAAGGGCGAAGGCAACTCAACTTTCGGCTTCGCCATTTTCATCCTTCCCCCTAAATTGAAATCCCTAGCCAAAATCCACCCTCATTGTAGCCGCCGTTTTCTTCGCCATCGGAGGTCGTCGGTCTTTGCGTGACGTCTCCTGGTCGAAGCAGCAGCTAGTAGGCATTCTTCAATCAGGCCACAGCAGCAGCTCCTCGTCGCCTCCCATCGTCATTTCTTCTTCACCGTGGCAGGTTCTTCATTCTCGTTCAGCTTCTGTGCTCTTGTTTTCTGGTTAGTTATTTTCCTTCAGCTCGATGTGGGTTATTTGCTCGATGTGCTCTGCTTTTTCCTTCGTGCTTCTGTTCTGTGTTCCAGCTGTGACTTGTGAGTGAGATTGAGATATGAAATGTGTATAGCCTCCATTCCTCCAATAATCAAAGTTTCTTGATCTGTAATGATAGCATTTTTACCTTTGGTCTAGTGAGAGAGAGAGACGCCCAGGAGCAGAAGATTTGAGAAATGAAGAAGCCATTTGTTAATTAAAAAGTAAAAACGCAAGTTCCCAAGGCTTCACATAGGGAGATGGAAAGTCAAAAAGTTCCATTGTGCATCTGCTTCAAGTCAGCACCAAGCCCTGTCATCAATGCACGGCCTATAATATGCTTGAGGCATTGGGAAATTTTACTTGAATTATTAGTTTTTAAATCAATTCAATTAATACGTTGTTCATTGAAATATTATTTTTTATGATTAAATATAAACATGTTTGTAAATTTTTAATTAAATTATATTATTTTAATTGTAGCCGGTTTAATATCTAGTCTAGTTTTTTGAATCTTGCTATTTATTATTTATGAATTTTGTTCTATTTTAATATTATGAATTAAATTATATTATTTTAATATGACCGGTCTGACCTCGGTTTGACCCCTAGTCCGACCAGTGACCCTTGACCCACTGCTCTGACCGGTTTAGTCTCTGGTCCGGTTTTTTGTTCCTTGCTCTCGGCTCATGAACATTCCTCTTTCTAGCGGGAGTTGCGGTGCTGACAATGGTCAACTCTAATGAGAGGGGTTCCTGACTCTTTTCTTTCAACAAATGAGGTGCTTTTATCTTTTTGCTTGAATTTTAAATCCCATTTTTGGATAGGTTCCTCATAAGAATGTATTGATTTTAAGTACTTTATGGAGATTTAGCATGTTCAAGATTTTTTTCGAGTCATTTTCTCTAACTATTTTCTTATTGATGTGTTAAAAACATAAGAGAATTACAATAAAATCCTACAAAAAAGAAATAATTATTAAAAAGTTTTAATAACAATCTAAGCGGCGTGTAATGACAAGTCTAAACAGTGTGTAATAACAAGTTCTATAATAAAATACGACAATCTTAGAACTTGTTTTGTAATTTTCTTTTTTCCTATAAAACTTGATTGTAACTCTCCCTAGAAACATACGGCGTTTTTAGGGCCTAGGTGGTTGTAGTTTGCCCTTGGAGCATAAGGCGGAGAATATTACCTTTACGCTCTTGTCTTTTCCCTCTTGTCTTTTCCCTCACCTTTCTCCTTTCGAAACAAATTATCATGCCACTCCCAATCATCTACCGTTTCCCGCATTAATTCTATATTTATCTACATATATTTTATGGAACTTTTTTATAATTATCTTGTTATCTAATATTAATTAGTTAAAAATAGTATTAGAATAATTTGTAATTTATATATATATCTTTTAAATATATCTAATTAAGTGTTTTAGTATTTACATTTTTTTCAATAATATATTCACTCTTTTCATTTTTATATAATTTTAATTTTAATTTTTTCCAAATTTATCAAATTATACATATAATATATTTATAAATATTTTATAAAACACATGCATATTTTTAATCATTTTACATCCAACATGCTTTTCAAATATATTATCCAAATAAATTTCATTTTGTCTTGCTGATTTTTGTTACCAAAAACCAGTACAGACATAAATTACATTATAATAATTAATTTTTACTCTGATTTTAATTTGTAATAAAATTCATTTTTAGCAACATTATATTTAATAATGTTTTATCAATATTTAAAATTTAAATATCAATATTTTTTTGTCAACAACCTTAGAGTTAAAAGACTGAAAAAAGCACTTTATACAATTAAAAGATCAAAATCAAACCTTGTTAAAATATTTAAATAATAGGGTTAATATAATTTTTGGTCTTTTAAGTTTTGCCCTTATTTTTATTTTGGTCCCTAAATTTTATTTCATTTAAAATATTAGTCCCCATAATTTAATAAATATTTAGACCACCTTTTGAGCAGGATTCTGTATATATTAGCGGGGTACACACTGCAATTATTTTATCTGCTTCTGATGCTGGTGGCAGATACATGCTTTTTGCGAAAGATTAACCACCACTAGTTTCAATATCATCCATATTCTCGAGTGGTGGAATTTTCGCCATATGATCAATAATGTGGTCTCATGATGGGAATATGTCCTCAAAAGATCGAGCTACGCTCTTTGGAAATCTTTCAAAGGGGCCACATAGGGAGGAGGGCTCACTTCAGCAAAGACACCTCTTATTGATCTAATATTCTTCACATATATTTAACGTCATGCTTTCAATTGTGGAAATTAATGCATCTTGCATAATTAGTAGGTGATTTAGTATACTAAATCAATGTATTAGTTTAAATAAAAAATGATCAAATAAAAATAACTTCCGATCCTAACACTTGCTCATGAAAGATTGTTTAAATGTGAAAGGGAAAAAAAAACAACAGGTAGCTTTGATATCCCTCGATCCAACTCAGCCTTTTGAAAGAAAGATAGAAAAGAAAGGCGTGGGGAGCCTGAAAGTGACAAAAGAAGCATGTGACCAGTCTCATTGAACTACTAATTAATAATCTTAATAACACAATTAAGCGAACCACAAAGATGTTGAATGAAAGCTTCACAATCACAGCACACCAATTTCTGAGTCTTCATACATTAATGAGACAAACCACACTTTGCGTAGAGTTTTGTCATGTATCATCCAATTGTTTATGATAAAAACAAAGTCTCATTTATCAAATAATTGAGAATTCAACAAAAGCATCACCGCACAAGTATCTGTCCATATTCATCATCCTGTAGTCAATGATTTTGTAGTCTACACTTTGGATTAGCCGCCTGCATTAATCAAGGAAGGAAATTAACAAGACTACTGAGTGTATTCTACATATATTCATGTTATCAGATAGAAATCATTTCGTAGTCAATGTGTCAAAAAGCCTTGTTTGTTTTCTTATTTTGAAAACCGTTTTTTCTTTTTAAAAAATAAAAAAATTAAAAAGGCTTTTTTTTAATTTGTTGTAAATTAAGTGTTTTTAAAAACAAAAAAATAAATATTTTTAAAAACTAAAAAACAAAAAAACTTTTAGTTATTTTTTTTTTCAGATTTTCTATTTTTTGTTTGGAAAAATTGGGAAACCTTTTTTTCTCACTTGAGAGCTTTTTCTCCATTTAAAAACTTGAGTTCTTGTTGAAACTTCACTGTCCGGTCTTATTATGTTTATTTCCAAATATAGTTTTTTAAAACAATTATCCAAACAGTTTTTTTTTCAAAACTTGTTTTAAAAAACAATTTTGCAAAAAAAAAATCAATAAAACAGAAACAAACAACCCCTATGTTTTTATCATTCTATTTTGTAAATATATATCATATTTAGTTGAAAAGTTGGGTTAAATACAAAATCATCCTTTTTGAAATATGCTAGCTGTTTCTTTTCTTCTTAATCACAGTTGATCTCTCTAAAATAAGCAAAAGTGATCCACTAACTCAACCGATACAATACAGAGGAAATGTACAGAAACAAAGAAAAATTTTATAAATAAGCTAAAAAAAAAAAAACACTCACACTCGGAAAAAGATGGCTCCTCTGTTTCATCCTTTAATGATATATATATAGCAGTTGTTGATATTATATTTAACTACTATTGGAAAAGAAATTGAAATAAATTTCAACAAGCAACTCATATCTTTTAGTGATTGTAAAACACAGACAAATGTAGCAAAAACATACAAATCATTTAAGAGAAAGAAAAAATCGGCGTATTGGGAGGGAAAAAAAGAGATCCAAGTTTTTTATTTGAGGGAAAAAAAGAGATGCAAGTTTTTTTTTTTAAAAGCTTGTCCCCTCATATATGAGGCTTTTATTGATATCATAATAACCACTAGGAAAAAAAACATAGACAATAAGCAGGAAAAAAAAATCATAAAAGCTACGAACCTGGAAAGAATGATAACATGGATGATGGACTTATCCTTCTATTTATTAACACTATCCTGCAATACCAAATCATAATATTAGCTGCCTAAAATAGAAGGCAATTTTGAAAAGAGACGTCGTTGGCATAAGCACGATACAATCAACTTTCTATTTCCGTGGCCATTAACAACACATTTTCCGAAAAAATATTTGTTAGTATGGGTATGTCATACCTTTGCTGAGGATAGCATTTCTAGTGTTTTGTTAAGGTCCCCTTTAGCCTTCCACTCCATCTCATGCTCTTTTATTTTTACTCTAGACAACTCTGGTATTTCCAACAATCCTGAACAAAACATCTTCATTTCAGGACATCCAGTTATTTCTATCTCTTCTAATCCAGGGAATTCAAATGTCTGACTTTGTGAAGAGAACATCTTCAAGCTTGGCATATCAATAAGTTCAATCCACCGTAATCGGTTGAGAGTGATTCCACCTTCTACACCTTCATTGTTCTCATTCAATACAATTTCCTCCATTTTTTTACAATCGTTTATCCTCAAACATTCAAGACTCATCAAGCTTTTGGCAGTTGAACTTGTCACCAAATAGACGAGTTGATGGCATCTAGATATAGACAGGTACCACAAATTTTGAAATGAAGCAGAGGATGGTGCCAACTTGACCAAGCTATGACAACTTTCGACTTCCAGGCTTTTTATTAGGTTTTGATGAATTGGTGGTAGCTGAGAATCATCCTTCCATGTGCTTTTGAGTTGATCCAAATAGGCAATGTGTAATTCTTCAAATGGTGGGATTTTTCCCATAAAATCAAGAATCTGATCCTGTGAGGGGAATATCTCCCCAAAGGAACTATGCTCCACATAAAGCTTATCCAACTTGGGAAATCTCTCAAGGAAGCTATAGGGAAATGTTACCCCTTTATCTGTGAAGCTTTCTACATAAAGAGCTCTCACTCTAGGAAAAACATCTCCTATCATTGTGATATTCTTCGCATTTAAAGCCATGCTTTTGGTTGTGGAAATTACCTATAAAATCATAATCAGTAAAACAATTACCATAATGAGTAGTCGATTTAGTAAATTACATCAAGATATTATTTTCAATAATTAAAACTTTTTAATGGATCACTCATCTTTTGCTAATATCTAATTTTCATTTTTTCACCATGAAATAACATCCGCACATTAAAATTTTAAAAATCCTTTAAATTAACTTCATAGCCCCTTTCTTTCATCTAAGTTAAATTGAAAAAAAAAATCCATAATTTCCTTGGAATTCACATTTAGGGCTAGCCTTTTTTTACTATGAAAATAACCTGTTCAAAGATTCTTGGTAAAATTATTATTATAAGAAGGTAGGTTAATAAATCAGGTCAGAATATTTTTTAAAATAATAATTTCTTATATTTATTGTAGATAAAATCTTTCTTAATTGACCCGTCATCTTTTTCCAATACTTATATTTTTCATCATTAATTCCCCCCAAAAAAAATCACGTTAAAAAATAAAATAAAATTCTTTGAATCAGTTTATAGGCCCATTTCTTTCCAGTCAGAGATCTACAAACATTATCACACTATTTGCAGTAGTTTGCCACATCCATTAATCATCATTTGCTTATCAGATTTCGCGTGCAATAAGAGTCTTGTAATTTGATGAGAAGTTTATAATTTTTGGGTAGACGACAGAATGTCCAAACTTTAATATTTATATTAGATGTTTCTCTTATCCTAAATTTTGTAGATGATGAGGAATTATTTAAAAAATGAAACTAAGAATATCAGTATGCTGGACTGACCTCTTGAATAGTAAATCGGCGTTGGATGGTGGTATTAAGATCATTCATCCAAATATCTATGTGAGATTCTTCACGTGCTCTCGTCACTCGAACATTTTGAAGCTGCGGGGCATGAATGGCTCCGGAACAGAATGTCGTGAGTTGAGGGCACTCTGTTATGGTTACAGATTGTAATAATGGAAACTTGAAAGTATAATTTTGGCTGCAAAATCTCTTCAATCTTGGTAATCCATCAAGTTCCAAAAGCTCCAGTTTGCTGAAAATGATTTCCGTGTCCTCATTGTCCTCTTCCTGTCTCGGTATAATTTCTTCAATTTGATTTTGATGGCATATGGATGGTGCCAACACATTCTTCAATTTTGGCAAATAGATTAACCTTAACTCTTTCAGTGGCACAGCCATCGATGATGACACAATCTCTTTATAATCATTTAAATCTTCAAAATAAAACACCGTCTCCAACATGTCACAAAACTTGACTTCCAGTTCTTCCAAGTTGTTTAAATATTTCAGCACATGAAGGGGCACCAATTTCACAATGTCACAACTACTCACACTCAATGTTTTCAAGTTGCTAAATGAGTTGTGTGAAGGTTTGTCATCCCATATCAACGGAACCAGACTGTTTAAAGAGTATAATTCTAATATCTCTAACCCTGGGAATGACACCTGTTGAAAGAAAATATAATTAAACGAAAATCTTTTAGCAAAAAATGAAAACGAAGTTACTGTTGATTTGCGAGGCTTAGTGTTCATGAAAGATTGTTTAAATGTGTAAATATAGATCTCGTGTACCGCAATATTCTTCAAGAGATTGATAAAAGTTCAACTTCAAATTTCAAGTTCACCAAACACAAATAACTAACTAAAAAACGAGAGAATTATAAAATGCTACAATAGCTAGCTTAATGCCAAAGTAAGTAATTTAAGTGAAATAATTTTTGTAGAAATATTGAGACAAGGAAAAATAGAACATATTTGTACTGAACAGAGTAAATAATTCCAGTAAAATTAATTTTCACAACGTAAGTTTGAAATTAAGAAGTTAATAAGATAAGAAAATCTTGGTAAGGAAAAAATATACAAGATAAGAAAAACAAAAACAAATTAATTTTTTGTCCCGAAAAAACAATAATAAATTGATTAGTAAATTATTCTGGCCTCCTTTGTATTGAAAATAAGTAATTTGTGAGTGGAAATTTGGTTAATTCTTTAAATAAATATATAATTGACTAAATAAGTTATAAATATTTCTCATTTGCTCAAAAACTTTAAAATTTAATTTTAAATAATTTCTATAATCTATCAAACTTAGATAATCTATATTATATGATGAAAAGAATATGTATTCAACATATTTTTTAGCCATTTAAAGAAACCTAAATAAATTAATTTCAATGTGCGTGACAAACAATTAAAATTATAAAATTTTATAATAGAATTAAAATTAAAAAAATTTATTACATTTTAAAAAGTCTGAAAATACATGTGTTAAAATTATGTTTTGTGGTATTAAAAATTATTTTTAAAAAATGAATGTTTAAATAACTTTTACGTGAAGAAGCAGTATTTTGGTCAAAATAAAAGTTTAAAAGTCAAACTTAATGGTCACCTTATAGTTGGATAGATGGAAATAGAATCTCAAATCAAATATACAAGAGAGGTTTGATCAACATGTATTTTAGTTTTACTGTAGTTATACACACATATATATATTTAAAACTAATTTGACAGCCCTTATGCTTTTATCAAATTTGGAATCAGGTTCCTGTAGTCTTTTTTTTAAATTTTATTAGATTATTTGCTCAGTTAGTAACTAAGGTCCTTCCGTTTATAATTGCCGTCACTTTAAGTTAACAGCGGTGATGTGGCATGACTAGGCACCATCTTACTTACCTCATCTGGAACACTTCCTCCCACATTTTCTCCCTCCTCCGGTCGGTTTCCTTTTGAGAGTAAAAAGCTTCATTCAGTTTCCTTCCAAACCAACACCATCATCTCTCTCTCTCAACTCATGCACTCTCTTTCTCCCCACCATCGTTTTTACTTGCTAATATAGAAGCTTCATCCTGTTTCGAATTCCTTCTCAGACGGCGATGCGGATCTAAGTGATGATAGTTGACTAAAAAGAGGACCACGATGTTGTGAGATTCATCGGTTCATCGTCTTCATCCTTGAAATTTTTTTTTGAAAAATTAGCCCATTTGAATAGACGATTAAGTCCAATAGTGAAACGTGGAAGAGGTTCTACTACTCTTTGGCCCACAAAAATAAATTAATAAACAGAGAGAGAATCTGATGATTTTAAAACATGGAGTGAAACTTTTACAAGAAGAGATAAGGATAGTGGCAGGGAGAGAGAATATGAAGTGTGTGAGAGAGAGGATGATGTTAGTTTGGAAGAGAACTGGGTGGAGGCGGGGGAGAGAGAAGATGAAGGCGTAGGGGTTACTGGTGAAATGAAGAACATGATGCTAGTCAGATCTTGAACAGTGCCACGCCAGTGTTGTCATCTTAAAGTAACGGCAATCATAACGGGAGCAAAAAATAAGGATGTAATAAATAGGAAAAAAAATTATAAAGACCTGATTCCAATTTGATAAAAGTATAAGGATCGTCAAATTAATTTTCCCTTTTTAAAATAAAGGGAAGATTTCTATAACTTAGGTAAAACACAAGGCTAGTTAGTATATTTTACTGTAAATTGATTTGAGCATACCTTATGATTATTTGTTGCTGGGTCTTCAATGTTGAAATCTGTTTTATGCTCTTCCGCTTTCAATCTTGGTAAACTATTGAGTTTTAATCTTCTCAACACACAGAACGTGATTCCACCTTCCACATCATCATTATTCTCATTCTTTACAATTTTCTCCATCTTATTGCAATCATCTATTTCCAATGTTTCAAGATTCACCAAACTTTTGGCAGCTGAATTTGTCATTAAATAGATGAGCCGATGACATTGGGACACCTTCAGCACTGTCAAATTATGAAGTTGTTGAATTTGATGAACAATGGGTGATGGGAATATCTCCTCGAAGGAACTATCCTTCACACGAAGCTCAGACAGCCGTGGAAATCTTTCAAGCAATGTATACATAAATGTTACTCCTTCATAATCAGATCCTTCTATGCCCAGAATTTCCACTTCAGGACAACTGTCCGCTGGAAATTGTTCATTTCTTATCATGCTAACATCATACTCATCTAACACCATCTCTCTTGATGCCACAAATCTCTATAAAACAGATATTGAGTCAGAAGCATAGTAATATTAATTTATTAATTATGTCACAACTTCTTATTGAATCAGTAATATTATTTTGTTTTTTATTGTGTCCCAAGATCAAATGCGCTCACTAGAAGTGCGAAACATTTTGATTTCATTTATTTCTCATAATTAATCTTGGAAAAGAAATAATTATATCAGCCACGACAAAAAAACAATAATGCCGACACACTTCACTGTGTATCACATTAATTATTAAATTATGACGTAATTGTTTGGGATATTTTATAATTAAAGTTCTGTAATTCAAAATGATAACTATTCCCTCCAATTCTTTTTATAAAAATTTGAAATTTGAATTGTCTTAGTTTTTCTTATAAGTGCCAACTTAGATTTGTATGACCATTTAATGTGTTTTTATCCTTTTTGTCTCTAATTAATTTTATACATTGCATTAAGTAAAAAGCTGACAACTTGGTATATTATCTTATCTTTCATATTTTTCTCATTATTACTCTATTTCTCTCTCTTACTTTTTTCCTCATAAATAAGAGTATATCTGGGGAAAAAATTCATTTCTTACTTAAACATTTCGCTGTGCATCCCATTAATTAATTAATTAATTATGATGTAATTGTTTGGGATGTTCTGTAACTAAAGTTATGTAATTAAAAAATGATAACTAAAATTTTAGTAGAAACTTCAAAACCGAAACATGTATAGGTATATTTATATTAAATATCATAACAATGGAACATTTATAGATTCATATTTTTGTAAAAGCTGGAAACAGGAAGAATGGAGCATTCTAGACGTACCTGTTGGTATAATGTTTTGTTAAGATTGGTGTCCCAAATTTCATGATGTTCTCCATACCTATCTTGTGACAGTAGAACGCTTTTAAGAGAGGGTGCATCAATGAGTCCAGGAGAGAATACTTCGAATTTTGGGCATTCTGTTATGATCAGCTGATCCAATAACGGAAATCTAAAAGTGTAATTGTAGCGGCAAAATCTCTTCAATTCTCGTAACCGTTCAACTTTCAAATGCTGCAGCTTGCTGAAAACGAATTCCTCATCGTCATCATCCTCTCCTTCCTCCTTCCATATAATTTCCTCTATTCCATCGCAGTTGCTAATTGAGAGACTTGTGAGATGGACCAAGCTTCGAGCAACTGATGATGTCATCAAAGTGGTCAACTCATAACAAGATACCATGTGGAGATGTGTGAGATTTGGTGGAGAAACTAAGAGCGGTACCAAGCTTGTGATATTGTAAATTTCATCAAGACTCAATTTTATTGGGAGATGAGCATCATCCCCTCCGCCCAAAGCCTCCTTAATGTGACCCCGCAGTCTCAGCTCCTCTAAATTTGGAAAGCTCTTCAACAATTTGTATGAAATACTTTTTGATTCATCATAACCAACATGTAGATAAAGCACTTTTACTTTGGGGAAGCAGTACATTGAAAGCTGGCCACTCCCTATCACCTCAGCTCCTTTACCCATTAATGTCAGCTTCTCCAAATTATAAGTGACCTGCACAATACATAAATCATAACAACTAATCAATGCGTCAAAATCCAGCCGTGTGCATTTCTTTAGGAGGATATCTTCAAATTTAAATTTGATGCATCCACAATTTTGACGTACATGTATTTTGCAACTACAAATAATAATTAAGATACATTAAAATGAATATAAATTTCTAGACCGGAGTTTGTATCTTTGCTTATAACATACAAACGTTACTTCTTCCCTCGTTTGTTTTAAAAAAAAATTATCCAATTAAAGCTAATAATGGCTTGAAAAAAGAACAAAAAAAATCCCATCACCTTGATTCGATGACACAACTCTTTTTCGTTAAGATGGAAAGCCAAGAATTGGAGTCCCACTTTTTTTAAAAAAGGAAAAAAAGAAAATTATTTAATTAATTTCTAATATCTATTATTAATTAAAATAATTATTATGAATTATTCTTTTTTAGCTTTTTAAGTGAATAAACAAATTAATCCTAAACTACATTATATTCTAATAAATGGTTTAGTAACAGGAATAATTCACATACTTGAGTACTCAAAAATATCAAATTCAAACGTGCTCTAAGACTGAAGCAAAATATGTTTCATTATTTATGTTAATGCTTAAAGTTCTTTTTTTTCTCTTTTATTAGATTGTTTTTAAAATAAATAACACATGAATAGCTAACTTAGAGATGTACCTTGCCATGGGATAGTAGAGGATATTTTGAGTCTAATGAGCTCCCTTCCTCATGTATTTCTAATGAACTTGAGACTTCCTTTTCAAATATCTCCAATTTATCACAACTTCTAATAGATAATCGATAAAGATGTGGCCATTCCAATGTGTGTGTCTGTGGATAGAAACTCCTCAAATTTTTAAGCGAAGAAAGCTTAAGGAAAGTCAACTTGGGAAACTCTAATAGAGGAGCAACAGATTCTGAAAGTTGATCCTTCGCAACAATCACATCCATACCACAATATTCTATTCGCAGCTCTTCAAGATCACGAAGCATGCCTTTGGCTATAGATGCGGGAAACAGACTAGTGAGGCTTTCACAATAGGAAACATGCACGCTCCTTAGACTTGGGAAGGAGACGTCTCCTTTATAGTGATTGCTCCACACATTCTTCAATTTTTGCAATCCACATAGCGTTAACTTTTTCAGTGGCACAATCACTGATGATGACTCCGCCTCTTTATAATCATTCAAGTCTTCAAAATCAAACACCAACTCCAACGTGTCACACTCCCTAACTTCTAGTTCTTCCAAGTTGTTTAAAGATTTCAGCACACGAAGGGGCACCAATTTCACAAAGCCACAACTTTCCACAAACAATGTTTTCAAGTTCCTAAATGAGTTGTGTGAAAGTTGGTCCTCCCATATCAATGGAATCAAACCGATTAAATTAGATAATCGCAATATCTCTAATTTTGGAAGCAACACCTACAGTTCACAGAAAATATGATTAAATGAAAATCACTTTTAGTTCGTAGGCTTACTTTTCATGAAAGATTGTTTAAATGTCTAGATAAAACTCTCAACTACCAAAATACTATTCAAGAGATTGCTGAAAGTACAATCTGAAAATTCAAGATAAAAAATAAAGTAATTGAAAAAAAAACTGTAAAATGCTATTATAGGAAGCCTGATAGCAATGTAAGTAATTCTAGTGAATGTAATTTTTGTAGATACATTACCAAAAAAAAAGAACAAACTTGGAAAATGCCATGATAGCCTGATAGCAAAGTAAATAATTCCAGCAAAAATCACTTTTTGCAGGTAACTAAGTTTGAAGTTTTGTCACAAAGTTAAAACAAGAAAACAGAAGAATAACTAAAACAACATGAAAATACCATATTGTTGAAAAGGGATTCCAAAGTTTTATTACGATGGTTAATCATCAAAACCATGGGCTACATTCCCATTGATATTTTAGTGACAGGAACAATTCATATGTTAAAATACTCAAAAACATCAAATTAACGTGTTTTTAGACTGACAAATAATTTGAGGCTTCATTATTTATTTTATGCTTAAAGTTATTTTTTGCTCTTTTATTATATTGTTTTTAAAATAAATAACACATGAATAGCAAATTTAGAGATGTACCTTGCATTGGGACAGTAGAGGATATTTTGAGTCTAATGAGCTCCCTTCCTCATGTATTTCTAATGAACTTGAGACTTCCTTTTCAAATATCTCCAATTCATCACAACTTCTAATAGATAATCGATAAAGATGTGGCCATTCTAATGTGTGTTTCTGTGGATAGAAATTCCTCAAATTTTCAAGCGACGAAAGCTCAAGGAAAGTCAACCTGGGAAACTTTAACAGAGGAGTAACAGATTCTGAAACTTGATCCTTCGCAACAATCACACCTATGCCACAATATTCTATTCGAAGCTCTTCAAGATCCCGAAGCATGCCTTTGGCTATAGATGCAGGAAACAGACTAGTGAGGCTATCACAATAAGAAACATGCACGCTCCTTATACTTGGGAAGGAGATGTCTCCTTTATAGTGATTGCTCCACACATTCTTCAATTTTTGCAATCCACATAGCGTTAACTTTTTCAGTGGCACAATCGCTGATGATGACTCCACCTCTTTATAATCATTCAAGTCTTCAAAATCAAACACCAACTCCAACGTGTCACACTCCCTAACTTCTAGTTCTTCCAAGTTGTTTAAAGATTTCAGCACATGAAGGGGCACCAATTTCACAAAGCCACAACTTTTCACAAACAATGTTTTCAAGTTCCTAAATGAGTTGTGTGAAAGTTGGTCCTCCCATATCAATGGAATCAAACCGATTGAATTAGATAATCGCAATATCTCTAATTTTGGAAGCAACACCTGTAGTTTACAGAAAATATGATCAAATAAAAATCACTTTTAATTCACAGACTTACTTTTCATGAAAGATTTTTTAAATGTCTAGATAAAACTCTCATCCACAATATTTTTCAAGAGATTGCTGAAAGTTCAATCTGAAATTCCAAGTTCAAAAAAAAAAGTAATCAAAAAATGAAAAAAAACTGTAAAATGCTATTTTAGCAAGCTTAATACCAAAGCAAGTACTTCTAGTGAATGTAATTTTTGTAGATACGTTAATAAATAAAAAAAGAACAAAATAAGAACAAGAAAAATGCCACAATAGCCTGACAGCAAAGTAAACAATTCTAATGAAAATTAATTTTTGCAGTTAACTAAGTTTGAAGTTTAGTCAGAAAATTAAAACAAAAAAAAAAAAGAATAATTACAATGATTAGTCATCAAAACCACGAGCCACATTCTCAGATATTTTAGTGACAGGGACAATTTCCAAAAATATCAAATTAAGGTGCTTTTAGGCTGACGAATAATTTGAGGCATCATTATTTATTTCAATACTTGGAGTTAGCTTTTCTCTTTTATTAGCTAATTTTAAGTCATTAAAAAAAAATAGAAAGCTGCAACCTTCCATAATAGCCTAACAGCAAAACAAGTAATTCTAGTGAAAATGATTTTTGCATACAAGTTTGAAGCTAAGTTTTGTAGGAAGATAAAATAAGAAAAAATGTGAATAAAATAATCTGAATATACCTTGTTCAAAAGCGACTCAGACATTTTATTGGATATGTTATTTGTTGCTGCTTCATGATGTGCTGAGTTCCAAACAATGGACTCAATAGTATCGTTACTTTCAATCTGAAGATGCCTTAAATGCAGAAATGATCTTCCATCATGACCATGTAGGACATTTTCAAGCCCATTAGATCCATATAAACACAAATCTTCAGCTCCTTTCATCAACTTGCGAACCCCAGGCTTCAAATAGACATCACTCTCAAGCTCAAGTTTCAATACCTTTGAAGTTTTATAGCTGACCATCCACCATTTCCAGTGCTTCCCAATGAGTATTTTATATCTCATCAAATTCATATCTAAGAACAAATTCTCCGGCAACATCGAGACATTAGGAATTTGTATATCTAGAGAACAGATTGGCAAGCCCTTCAACTCGTCAAGACTCGCGTTTTCATTAGCTTCAGTAGATCCTTCAACTTTCCACTGGTGAAAGCTATTTGCCATAAGCAAAACCCCCAATTTTTTGAAGCTAGATAGCAGTTTTGGTGGAATCACTTTGAGCTTGGAGCAATGGGCTAAATTCAACATTTGTAAAGAAGTTAACTCTGCCAATTCAATAGGTAGTTGTTGAATTTCAGAGTAAGCAAGACTTAGGACTTCTAACTTCTTCAAGCTTCCAACCTCAATTATGTCTTCTAGCAAACAAGAGTGGAGACGCAATGTTTTTAGTTTTTGCAGGAACATGAGTGATGGTAGTGACGAAATATGCATATTGGTAAATGCCAACACTTTCAGCTCCTTTGATGATTTGAAAAACATCCTAGGTATGGCCAAATCACATTTTGTGCTGTCTAGCAGAAAGAATTCTAATCTTGGACCATGAAGCTCTTCTGGAAGGCCACTGATGTCACTCTTTTGCAAGCAAATTCCCTTGTAGTCTTCAAGCTTATTTTTTTCAGGCCATTCTTTCAAGCTTCCATGCCTCACAATGAATGCATTTAATTCATTGGTTGCTATCGATATTGCAAAATCTCGAAAGACGTCATGTATTGTGAAGTAATGACTAGAAAAGCTATCAAGAAATAAGTTTAATGATTTTAGCTTGCTTACGGCAGCAGAGACTCCAATGTGGGCATCTTCTATGTTTTCTATGCTCTCAAGAATATCTAACCCCATAGAGTACATGAGCAGGTCATCAATTGAGGGATCATGGGACAGCATGGCAGAGAGCAAGAAGATACGTTTTTTCTCTGAGCTTAGACAATCATAACTCGACTTCAATATCGCATCCACCTCTTTAATTCCTGTGATGTTTCTCCTTAAAGGATGATTCAATCGTTTACAGAAATCTTGCCACTCATCTAGATTTGTTCCCCTTAATGCCTTGGCAGCTGTTGCAATCGCTAATGTCAAGCCATGACACTTTCGAACAATCTGATAGGCTGTACATATCAAGTTGTCAGGAGTGCTTGAGTCAATAGGAAGTTCAGAAATCCTCTTGAACAACTCTAATGCTTCATCCTCTGACAAAACATCCACTTCGATAATTTCTTGACATTTCATGCCATTTGACAGCAAACTCTTATTCCTTGAAGTCAGTAAAATTTTGCAGCATTCATTCTTTTTGCTAGAACTTCCAACATTAACAAAGGGAATTCCAACTTCGCCGAAATCAAGTTCCTTCCAAAGATCATCCAATATTAGGAGCATATTCTCCTCTTGCTTCAACCTTTCACATAGACGATAAGCTCTTACTTCAAATTTTTCATTGAGTTGAAAACCCAGCTTCTCTGCAATCTGGCCTTGAATCTTCTTAACGTCCAATTCATTAGAAACAGTTGCCATGATCACCTTTTTAAACATGTTTTGATTCTTCGCCGTCTCTGCCACCTCTTTAGCTATAGTGGTCTTGCCAACACCGCCAAGCCCACACAATCCGACAATATTAACACTAGGATTATGTAAGAGCTCCATAATTTGATTCACAATTTGCGTTCTAGAACCAATCCCTTCATTGCTTTCTCTGTTGAGTAATTCTGGCATCGATGGGGGAGGAACAGGATGTGAAACCCTATCAAAGTTTCTCTTCCCATAGATTTCAACAACTTGCTGTGCCATTGCCTCTGCTCTTTTGCTTAGTTTATAACGTAGCCACAGGTTGGGACAGGAAGTTACGCTACACTCTGTTTTTGCTTGACTCTCTTCTTCATGAAACATTTGTGTTTGCGTTAAAATCTCATCTACTTTGCGCAGCCAATGCTGAACTTTCTCTTCAATTTGTTCTAAATTTTTTCTAGCATTATCTATTTGTTGTTGTTTGGAGCTTCTTTCAAGGGTGAGTTCCTCAAGTCGTTTATTGAGCTCCTCAATATTTTTGTGATACTGAAACAGATAACGAAGCTGCTCCCAAGTTAGATCGATCACTAGATCCCGGAACTTGTCAACCAAACTACTCAACGTTCCGCAAGTGATATCCATTGAATTTGCACTCTGTTAAAAACATAGCCAAAACTCAATTAAACTTGGGTTGTGAATTGATGCAGAAATATTGGCACCCTTCAAACAAATGTCTCACCTTTTTTTTTCAAATTAATGACGATGAAAACTTGATTTCCACTTTTCCCTGTCTTTCCTTTTTCACCCTGTGGAACTCAAAGCAAGAGTTTGGTCATTCAAATGATCACGATTGACAATATTAAATTATTTGCAGTCAGAGTATTTTTTTCATTTATGCAATATCAAGACATGATCACTAAATTTTGCACCCCCTGCAAATAGATATTTGAAATTCTAGAACACGTCACCATGCAGGTGAGATAAGGTGATAGGCAAGCTTATCATTAACCAATTAGGATATATATTTAAAGTGCAGTTTTCTTTCTTCTTGAAGAACCATAAAAACCAGCAAAGTTAAAAATGATCACCATAAAGGAAAAGTGCCAGCAAAAAATGCAAAAGGAGAAAACTATGATTTTCTTTTTTTTTTTAATAAGAAAAAGAGAAAGAAAAACAAAAGTCAGAAAACAAAAATTGCAGAAAAATGTTTAAGAACAAGTTGAGAAATCAAGAAACAAGTAACGAATGCTGTGTAATTATGAAAGAAGACAGAGAGAACCAACAAAAATGTAGCAGAAATTAGTGACAAGTGCCAAGAAAAGGAATAAAATTCAGAAAAAAAAATTTCTGAGAAAATGCTGAAGAAGAAGCAGGAATGAGGCTTTGGGAAGAGTCGATGGCAAAGGCTCTCGTGCATAGAGGAGTCAATGGAGGATATGGCGATGAATGAGACCCACATTAATTAAAAAGAAAGGGGCTGCACTAAAGGATTAAAATTGAGAAAATAGTGTTTAATATGAATGATTGTTTATTATATAAGACTAGACAAATTCATGTATGTGGGATTTGAAAATACCATATGAGAAGTGGTATTCTTCAATCCTACTTCTAAACATTTATCTAATCTTATATAACAAATAATTACTTATATTTATATTTAAAAAATTTTAATGATTTTTTAATTTTAATTTTAATCTCTATCTCTTATTTTTAATGTTTTATATACCAAACGGTACTTCTTAGGTATTTAAATTTTAAACACAAGCGTATCAATATCCCAATTCCACGAGGGCGCGCCAAAGACCCCATTGTTTGGCCTTTACAAGAGAGGGAGGTGGGGAGAGAGTGAGAAAAAAGAATGGCGTGTACTGTAGGGTGTAAAGCGACAAAAGAAGCGTGTGGGCCCCCACAATTGTTATTTTACTCCTCTTTTTGGTTTTAAATTTATAAACTAATTAACTAATTTACCTGAATTAAAAAAATTAGGTGAATTCCTTATATGCAAAGAGATATGAACT